TATTTTCTCCACACTTTAATGTGAATTTTAGAATTCCCTGTGTGCATATTATTATTGTAAATTGGTCATTTTAAAGTCCCTTTAAAGCAAGTCATTTCACTTGGCGGCCATCTTTGAAACTCTCTGCAGTTTGTTTGGGCATTCTATCTGAATTGGGAAACATCAAATTCTCCAAAACTGCCTGCCAAACTTGCGGCTACAATACATATTTGGAATCACTAATAAAATTAAACAACATCTGTCTCATAAGTTTTATTTCTGAACATTTGAATCAAACAAATCAGCATTTTTTTCAGGTTGCTAAGGCTAATGCACATGCACACTTGAAAGAAACAAGATCATGACACCAACCTCATTTCTGGCGGTGTTGCACATTATCATCCTCTGGATAATGCTTTGTCAGATTGCTCTGCTCGTCTAAACAAATCCACAACTTGGTCTTAATGATGAATCTCCTCCAGAAATGACAGCAACTCTTTGTTTAGTTTGTGGGGCATTTCAGGAGTTGCTATCATGTGATGCATTTGACAGGACTGACTGTACTTTGCGTTCGTTTCATATGTATTACAAAACCAAAAAAACGCTTGATTTCAAGTGCACTTGGTTCATTTGAAAGTACACATTTCAAGCTTCATGTGGATTCATTTCTTATGCCTGTGAAGCCAGTATTTACTGAGATTTCAGTGTTTGTTGACCACATAAACTGCCGTAAAAGCACATGTCTGGTCTGAGCTTCTATCCCCAGAGAAACGTCAGTCTATCATTGATTAGCTCCTACACCAGTAGGCAGGGCTTCATTTGCCATATTGACCGTTACACTTTTCCCCATGTCTTGTGTATTCTATAGTCTATGTCATATGGCTGAGTTTACAGCCTGACCCAGCCTGGTGTCACAAGTGTTTTTGTGGGATTGGTGTTTGCAGACTTGCACTTGCAAATGAGGTTTCTGCGTGTATTGTGGTGTTTGCCTTGTCATTTTGCACCCCCTCAGAAACCCCTTCATTTGTTTCTGAAATTTAAATGGAGTCCTGTACACAAATTTTCCAACCACTTTTATGTGACCCAGTTATTTCTCTGCTATTCTGCCTCCTTTCCTGTAAATCACTCCGTGTGTCTTCTGTGATGAACTCACTTTACAAAGTTTGCACCACGTTGGGTGTTGCCTCAGTACAAACTGCACTTGTTTTTCTTTTGTTTTGTTTTTGGCCCAGTCGGTACTGACATTTGCAGGGGGAACTTTTTTGTGCATTCCATTGCAAATTGCATTGCGTAGTGTGTATGTTGATCATAGTTCATAATAAGTTCTGGAACCAGAAATTAAGGATTAATTTTCATCTTTATTATTATTGTTATGCTCCAGAAGCTTTCTTACACACACACACACACACAAACACACAGACACACAAACACACAGACACACACACACACACACACACACACACACACACACACACACACACACACACACACACACACACACACACACACACACAAACTCTTGTTGCTTGTTTAAACTACTTATTTAGAATAAGCTGAAAAAGCACATTTTTGAGATTTTGTTGGGACAACTGAATTGTTTTATATTAAATTTAACTTAAATTTGTAAAAACTAATAAGTTAACTTAATTTCTTCATGTCCAAACACAAACAGATTGTGTGGAACCCAGCATTTTCTAAAGTGTACCCTCTAAAAATGATGTTTTCTTTTTTGATCAAACTGCTTATTTAAAACGAGCTGAAACAACACACATTTCTTGAGTTTATTTGAGGGACAAATTTATTTTTTTATGTCCAATCAAATGTGTAAAAACTCACTGTGCGTTCACACCGAAAGCGGTGAGAGCGTCAAAGTAACCAGAATTCATTCAATTTCAATGGGAGTCAGTGGCAAGGAGCGGCGCTATGTGTCTTCGCCGGTGTAGGCATAGAGTTGAAATCAAGTCAACTTTATGGTACTGAGCTATAGACCTTTTTCTTAGAACGCAAAATTACCCATTATGCGTCGTTCAGCGCCAGCTCCTGGACTGATTATTTAAAAAATGTGATCCAATAGGATGGAAAACAAACAGCTGCTGTGAGGCATTTTCCCCTCTTTGTCAGACGGCATCTTCTGCTGTTTAAATGAAGCCTCGTCATTACGATTACAATCAACATGCAAATCAGGCAGCAGAGTGTTAGTGTAACAGGCTTTTATTGGTCATTTTTGTAAATTGCATGACTTACATACCTGTTGAGTTTTCATGCAAGTGTGTGTGTGTGTGTGTGTGTGTGTGTGTGTGTGTGTGTTTGTGTTTGTTTGTGTGTGTGTGTGTTTGTGTGTGTGTGTGTGTGTGCATGCATTGAAAAGCCGGTGAGCTAACAGCTGACAGGCTGGGGAAACACACACACACACTGTATTTCTGACGGCAGACAGGTGAACAAGAAGTACGTTTTTCTCTCGCGCTTGAACCAAATCTGACAGATTATAACAGCTTTACCACACACCTTTCAAAGTTGTGTGTCACAAAAACACTTGTAATCCACGCAAAACACTTATGAAACCCATTTTCGGAGCGTAAATTAACCGTTGTAAACGCTGTGAACAGAAGTTCTAAACATTCTACCGGAAGATTCTGGTCAATATGGCGCCTTCATGCAGCAGCCAAGAAAAAGGTCTATGACTCAGATCGGCGGCAAGCAATCGGAATTGAAGTCCGCGGCTTAAGAGGAGTCCAGAGAACACAGTCCTGTGAACTATGGTTTTCCATATTGTAGTGACCAAATACAGTCATTTTCGGTCGTGTTTATATTCATTTTTAGACAACATATTATCAATATTTTAAAGAAATCAATATTTGGTGGAGTGACCTTGATTTTTAATAACACGTGAAAGCGTGATTTGTTGATCTGACCAATCGACATTTTCTGAATAAAAAGAAGAAATGTTCTGAATGACATTAAGAAATATTATCAGACATTTACAAAATAAAACAAATATGATTTTATCAAATCTAGATTAATCCATAGATTATTACTTTTATTACATTCATTTATTTATTTTCTTTTCAGCTGTGTCCCTTTATTAATCAGCAGAATGAACTGAAAATTTTTATATTACTATATACTGTATAATATCCCTTTTTTTCTTAAAAAAAAAAAGCTAAATTCACAACAGACCTATTCTAAAAGAGAAAAGAAAAAGGTTTATTTGTGTTTTATAAGTAATAAGTAATAATGGAAAAATTTTTACTTCTGAAACCGAATGGCAGCACGATATTTTCAGATATTGTGCCATACTGTACATGTATTGTGCTTTTTTTGGGGGGGGGGTCATTTCACTCATTGTCTGCTTTTGCTGAGTGGAGTAAAAAAAGTTTGGGTATTGAGTTAAATATATCATTTTACACTCCACAAATAAAGTCAGTTAAGTTTTAAATGACATGAAGGTGTTTAAATTGTGACAGAATTAACACATTTGGATAAAATATTGCTTCAAATTAATCCTGAGTACATCATGTACTGATTTGAAACCACTTAAATCTTTATTCTTGGTTTTCGTGTTTTTCCAGTGATGTGGCCACAGTGGAAAACTGCTCTTCCAGCCGTGCTCTAGTGTGTGTGATGTATGTTTAAAACACACACTCTTAAACACACACAGACACTTTCTATAATTAACTCTTGTGCTGAAGTCACTCTGGTATTCTGGCCAATGGGTGGGTTTTCATAAGTGCTGTTTCCACAGTCTAGAATGTATGTGTGTTGTGTAAGTGTGCATATATAGAAGACCACTTTCACCATAATTATCAGTTTCCCTGGATTTATCATTTATAGTTATGCATCCTTACTTAAAACAATATTGCTTACAATAATTTACCTCCGACAGTCAGACTATGTGTACACCTATTCATTGTATTCTACGTATTACTATCAACAATGGCAATTGTATATTGTTTTGTTTTGTTTTCTGGGAGTATGTTGTTGTATTTTGCACTGTCTGGAGCCAGCACCTAAGCTTTTCAACACAGTACACATGCAGCTATGTAACAATAAACTGGTTATAGTGATTATATAGTGATTATAAAAATATGATTTATTTGATTTGATGAGTTTGAGAAAAAATGTTTAAAACAGAAATATTTGTTTTGTTCTTTATAGGTCAGGTAACATTTCTTACAATTGACAATTAATAATAGTGTCACTTAGAACATTTCTTTTTTAAATAAAAAAATAGGTGGCACAGAAAAAAAATATACAAAATAAAATGACAAGATATGTATATGACATTTGGAAGAGATTATATCAAATGTTAATAAAAAATATAATAATTAATTATTATTTAACTAAATATATGTCTTTTTTTTGTTAAACAAATATTATTTTTAGATAATAAATCCAGAGAAATTGATCATTTCAAAAGGGGTTTAACATTTTGTCAGATTTTAAAATTAAAATTGTTTGTTAAACATTTAAGTCACTAAGACACTTCTATACAGCTCAAAGTGACATTTAAAGGCTTAACTAGGTTAATTAGGTTAACTGGGAAGGTTTTTGTATAACAATGGTTTGTTCTGTAGACTATCGAAAAATGAATAGCTTAAATGGGCTAAAAAACCTTGACTTTAAAATGGTTTTTAAAAAAATAAAAGCTGCTTTTATTCTATTTATAAATATTTTATTCTAATATTTTATTTAGATTTTAAAATAGGAAGTAAAGCTATAATGAATGATTAACAGCATCACACCAATCTTAACTGTGACTTTTTAAATCATTTTTTGTCTTGACTCTTTAAATCCATTTGCATCCTTGCAAAATAAAATAATTCATTTAAATGAATCTTCCTGACTCAGTAATCTGTTGTGTAATAATGTGTTTCTTTGCATAAGTGAGAGTGCCACAGTTGCATTGAATTCATTAGAATTCTAAACCAGGATGTCCTGCTGCTTTCTACTATATGAAAATGTCATCAGCACCATTGACCACACACTCTATTTCTCATAAATGTTTCATTCTCTTTTCACAGAAACGATGATTAATCATTGAAAAAGAAGATTGGAAGCCATGTCATTCTTTGGCTTAGACTGTGCGAGGAAGAAAGAGAAAGGTGAATTATTACACAAATGACTATTACACAAAGTCTTACATATCAAATGTGAAGTTTTAGCTTTTTGTGATGTTGTAATTCTACTTTGTTCTGGTGAAGTATGCAGTGAAACTTTGGTATTGGTTTTTCTGTTTAAGCATCCTGTGAAACACATCAGCTTGTCAGGTGGTTTTAGTTAAGTGTCTGACCTACTTAATTAAAATTACATGTTTTTAGAGTGACTGAATCAGCTACTCTGTGTTTTTGTTTCCAGAGGTGGAGAGAAAAATCAGAGCAAACGACAGAGAATATAATTCATCCTTCAAATATGCAGTAAGTGTGAAATCAACATGCCAGAAATTCACTAACTCACACATGCACACACAACACTGGAAACAATTGTGATAATTATTTTTTTTGCAATATATATTTTGCGACATGAACACATTTTCACCATTTGGAAAGAATTCATAATATTTTAGTTTTTAGATTAAATTATGATTATATACTGTAGGAGAGTTCATCTGCATAAAATATACAGGGTTTCCACGAGTCAGAGAATTTCAGAAATATCATGCAATCCAAAATCTATATTTCAGACATTGAAAGTCAGGGACTTTTAATTTGTCATGTCTCATCTATTTTAAATTTAAAACAAATACATTTTTCTATATTATTATTTTTGAACTGCATTGTTTTACATGATTTGCCTATTGTTATGGTTAGGCTATTTTTCAGTGTCATTTTATTTCTTTAGCACTTTTCAACTGACAATCACTTACTGTAAATCAAATGTAGTCAGTAGGCTATACCTGTTAAAATACTGTTTGTCTGCTCAGTGCTGAACACAAAAGCTGTTTGTTTTTCTGTTTTTTATAGGTCATACAGAAATTCAGCTTTTTAGTCAGTGAAAGTCTGGGAAAAGTCAGTGAATTTGACTTTAGAGTAATTTACAAAGGAAACCCTAAATAAATAAAAAAATCACAAGCATAAATAAAATACAATAGAACAAAGATTCAATAAACAGTTTTTCTGAGAGTATTTAGGTTCAGAAATTTAATAATGAAACTTAAAGACTAGTGATCTTCATTTTTTAAACAAACAATATGAGCCCAAAAAAAGGTAATGTTGCAGCACAATGCCTAACAGTGTTCAGTGCACTGATTTCACTCTCCCTTCAGCCATAGTTGCTTTAAAGCAACTTTCACATTGGACACAGAAAGCACTACACAGCACTGAAACCCTTTCATTTCAATGGCTTGTGTCATGCAAAGGCAGTTTGTTGTCACACCACCAAAGGCACAAGAGTGACTAGCTTGCACAGGCACCACGGGTTCAAATATAAAGATCAAAATAGCTGGATATTCTGTTCATGTATCCATATAGGCTACTTATCTATGCATGAACCGCACATGTTCACATGAAAGCAAGGTTCGCTCAAATAGTGCCAACAGCACATTTAATGTCAATGTAATATACTCTTCTTGCTTGGAATAGTGTTGCACAAAGTTGGTAAAATGATGCCTTTTAACTTATGAACAGTGAATAAAATGTATAGTATTAGATGATAGATATTAATATAGTTATTTTATTGGCTAATGTTTTTTCTTAATCAGTATAATTTGATCCACAAATTTAAATTTAAAAAGCATAGTGAAATTATTTAATAAAATAATAGACAATTATAACAAAGTAGTTTCAGTTTTAGCCAAGAATTTTCATTTCAGTGTTTCCCTAGTGAAGACCTGTATTGTTCAAACTCACTTGAATTGTTTACACAGTCACATGCCTTAAAAACACATGCATATAGTCAAATTTGGTCACATTTCACAACGACTCCACAAACCATTTGTGTTCTGAGCTGTTGTGCCTCGTAAACTATAATCCTATAAATCCTTCGATGTGAGACTTGCAGATGTGCACATAGCGATGCCAATGCTGGAATGACATATTGTGCAGCCCTATTTCACATCTACAAAAATGCACTTTTTTGTTTGGTGATAAAGGATTTAATTTGGCATGATCACATTATATGCACTATGTAGTTTCAACAGATTGCAGTCATTTTCTTTCCTTTTTCTTTGAAGGAGATACAAATGTGACTTTTAATCTTCCAGATTTTTTTTTTTTTAATGTTCCAGGAGGACCACCATCCCTGTACATTTTCTTGTCTTCTTATCCAAACACACTAGATTCAGATCATCAGCTCATTAGCAGAGACTGAAAGGCTTGTAATGGGTGTCACACACAAAGGTTCACATCATGAGTCAATAGTGCAACCACATTTGTACAGTGCTCCCAGCATAAAAGTTTACATTACATTACATTACATTACAAAGAAAATACACTACACTGCAAAAAATAAAAAGTAAGTACTTACATTAAGTAAGAACACATTACAAAAGTCATTAAACCGCACTAGTCAAGACTAAAGCCAATGTGAAGATGCTGGATTTTAGCAGTGTCCACGGGTGTAGTAACGAGCAAACAAAAAAATACAAAGCACAAAGGCAGAACATTTCATAGGGAAGATTTCGTGTTTACGTTTTTATATGTTGTAAACTTTTGTGCTCAACAAGTATTGATGATAATTCAGGCACTTAGTGCACGGATCATAAGGAAAGTAGCACCAACTCACATTAAATACTAGGCTTATGCTTGTTTGGTTGAATAAAATCAGCAAACAATGTAAATGAAATATGACAACAAGACGCTGCGGACCTAGAAACTTGTATTATTGTCAACTAAGAGAACGAGTCGTTCATAACGGAGGTTCATTCACAAATGAATCACTCCCCCTGTTAGAATGAGAAGTGAAAGCAAGAGAGGGGGTGTCTTACAGGATGTAAATAGATGTTCAGTGGTGTAAAATTATATATTTTTTAATTAAAAAAATATTTGCATACTGACCACCGGGAAAATTCCTAATCATAGATATACATGCATATATCTGTGGCTATGGATGGCCAGTCCTCCACTGCATCTTTGTCCCACATTCATTTCAAAGGAGTGCTACCCTGTACTAAAATGGCAGCTTTATTGGCACATCCTTCCAATAGACACCAATAGGCGACATCTAATGTAAATATCTATGGGTTCACATCTGCACAATACAGCATCTTTCATTCCTCTTTTCTTCTTGTAGACCAATTGCATCAAGACCTCCAAATACAACCCCTTCTCTTTTCTGCCTCTCAACTTGTTTGAGCAGTTCCAGAGGATCGCCAATGCTTATTTCCTCTTCCTGCTCATTCTGCAGGTGAGTAACATACTCCTATTCATATCATCAGTCAGTTCATTTACTCATATCATAGTGATTTGGACTTCTGTGAAAGGAAGTAGATTATTTAATGATTTTTTCATTTATATATTTTACTTTAGTCATGCACATATGCAATGTGATCGAAACATGACCCTGACTTCCTGTAATAAGCCTGCGCGCCTCACCAAATTACTAAATTCTTATGCAATAATGACTGTCTCATGACTTTATTAGCTCACACCAGCGGTAGGTCAGTTGACATTTTGTCTCATACTATTTACAGTCATGCAATGCAGCTATCAGACACAGTATAAAGGAATAGGGAGATCAGCAGCATTTAAAAATGGATAGAAAATCTATTAATAAGGATTTGGTGCTCAAAGAGACTAATGCAGTCATGAAATCTTTAATTCACAATGTGATTTACTCTACCTAACAATATGTTTATGGTATTTGCATTTGTTCATGTAATAATAACGCTTACACATTCAAGGTACACGTTTTGTTTGTGTGTTGTAGGTTATTCCTGCTATTTCTTCTCTGTCTTGGTTCACCACTGTCGTCCCGCTAGTGTTAGTATTATCGGTGACTGCAGCCAAAGATGCCATTGATGATATTGTAAGTACACACACGTGACTCTGCAACAAACTCCTCTTTGTTTGTGTGTTTTTTCCATGCAGATTGCAGTTAGCAATATTTGACTCTGATTCAACAGCTATTCCTAGAAGCTCTTAATCCTGTTGGTTTGCTATAGTTTAAAACAGCTAAGACTGCATGATAAAAATCAAATAAAAGCTATGTGTTTGAAGCAGGACTACATTTATCCATACATATCTATAACCACTTTAATTACCGTGTTCTTATAACTATCATGTTGCATCTGGTGAGAAGTATAAACCACTATATTGGTATTACAGGGTTGGACCTCTAGTCCTTTTCCTTATCTTTTGTCATCTGACCTTTACTCTTTGTCAAATTAAGCTGACTCTTGTTTTCCTGTGGTCTGGTGTTTTGAAACTTTTTATTTTTGTTCTTGTTTTCCATTTCTTATTTTGCCGTGACCAAAAAGTGCAATTCAGAAAAAGAAATGTCGGAGAGATCCAAGGTTTAAATTTATATATTATTGCTGCTCTATGGTGATTTGAAGTGCTTCATTTATCCTCATTTATAAGTAGTTTAAATCAGGGATGCCCAAACATTTCTTATGAAGGGCCAAAAGCCAAACTTGATTGAGGCTAGAGGGCCGAAGGTAAATACAGTATAGCTGCCATGGGTAATTTCCTTATTTGTTTAATAGCATTTTAAAAATAACTAGAAAACAATGCTTTATATTAACTAATACAGTATATTGTTTACATTTTATAATAAACTTATTACAGTAAAAGCAATCTCAGATTGGACTTAACTTAATTTGATGTCTTCTGCATAGTTCTCTATCCATTGAGTGACATTGTTTACATTTTAAATTTACATTCTTTTCCACTCCCTCTATCATTCTCACTGTATTTTTTAGAGGGGATTGTGGATCAAATCAATGGTTACAATGGGCCAACTTTGGACGAATGAATAAATGATCATGTAAATCCCGGACGAGCCCCCAATATTTTATATTATGACCCAAACTTGGGAAAAGTAAAGAATATTCATTTATTCATTTTATTTTCAGCTTAGTCCCTTTAATAATCTGGGGTTGCCACAGGGGAATGTACCGTCAAGTTATCCAGCATAGGTTTTATGCAGCGGATGCCCTTCCGGCTGCAACCCATCTCTGGGAAACATCCATACACACATATTCACACTCATACACTATGAACAATTCACAAAGCCTACCCAATTTACCTGTACCGCATGTCTTTGGACTGTGGGGGAAACCGGAGCACCTGGAGGAAACCCATGCAAGCTAGGGGAGAACATGCAAACTCCACACAGAAACGTCAACTGACCCAGCTGAGGCTCGAACCAGCGACCTTTTTGCTGTGAGTTGACAGCACTACCTACTGCGCCACCACGTCGCCCAAGAAAATAAAAATAGAGATAAAAATGTATGGGTTAAATAGTCTAAAATACAACTTCCTAAAGCAATCACACACCGGATGCGCCACTCGGCGCCACCACATAGAGAACACATGACAGTTGAAAGTATCACTTACCAGACGCGCACATTTGCATGTTATTTAAAATAAACTTTTCAGATGGCGCTCTGTGGTGCGGCAGAAATATGAACCGTGTTCTGAGTTGGGGCTGGGCACTCCAGACAGCCGCTGACTTGCGACGCAGGTGTGCATACACTGATAAAAATCTATGTTTAGAATTCAAAAATTCATGACGCTGCTTGCCGTGACGCAGTGCTTTGCAGAGCGGTGCATCTGGTGTGCAACCCCCTTTAGAGTTAAAGTCCGAGTGCGATGCATTAATGTGAGTGATTGATCAGCATGAATGACAAATTCATGCTAATATGTTGGTAGCACAGACTTAATTAATATAGATCTTGTCAATTTTTTTGGCTTCAGTCTCAATCAATGCAACATAAAATTAAGATAAAGTTTGGTAGTATGCAGAAAACACAACACACCATTTAGTCAGATTTTCTCTGCAGTTCCACTTCATTTTTAATTTTTAATAATGTTGATCGCTGTGAATTTGATCAAAACATTAATTCGGAACAAGACAACATGCATGCCTAACATGTTAATGGCATTTACACTGGTTTTAAAAATCTGTTTTTGCAGCTCTGTCAGCTCTGGGCACATAATTTAAAGCTTTAAACTTAATAGGTGGCCCATTTCTTTACAAGAAGTACAGGGGAAAATAAAAACACTGGTTGAAAACAAAAAAACAACTCATGTTGTTGTGCCACATTTGATAGCTCCAGGAATCTATCATTTTATTTAAAGAGGGTCATTGTGCTGTAAAGTCCTGTTTAACTTTTTTTTAACTCCTAAAAAGACAACAAACATGAAAAATGTCAAATCATTTACATGTGCTAATTATCTGACCAATCAAACGACATAATAAAAAAAATGTACATCAAAACTTCTAACTACTTGTTTCCTAAAGCAGGCCGAAGTAAAGTGCCAACAGCAGCTCTTATGAATGCAAAACCCCTAAAGTGATATGAATAATCAGTCTTTCCCCCCATCCTATTGGGAGATGTGCTTAAAAAAGAGAGAGAAACTAAAAACTAGAAAGAAAGAAAAAGAGCACAGACTCTTAATTTCTGATCTGTATGCCTTTTGGAAATAAACGACATTTAGTTAATGAGAATGACAGCTTTTACTGCAATATGTAGGACACAACTAATTTAAATGCCCTTTACTTTGGCACACAGGCGTCATTTAATACGTTGAGTGATTTTTTTTTCTTCCTTTCCAAACAGCCGAATCTTATAAAGTGAAAGGTTACGGGTCTGAAACATGTCAGCGGTGGACTGGAAAATCTGATCCAGGGAACAGGAGCCTCCTCACCCTCAGCAGGAATACAATAGTCCTTATGTTTCTGCTGAGGGGAGTGGAGGGGAATTAGGGAATCTCACTCCTCTTTCTCTCTCCTTCTTAAAACTGGGATGAGCCACTTTCTAGACTCTTAGCATTTGACAACAGAGGATTGTCTTTTGTCTTCAAATGAATTGATCATATCAGGGCTTCTATTTGCTCGCTACTTTTCCTGTTATTCTTCATTGTTGTTAATTTCCTCTTTTTATTTATTTGCAGAATCGCCACAGAAGTGACAGGCAGGTCAATAACCGGAAGGTCAATGTGCTCATCAGTGGAAAGTGAGCGGCATTCATTGTTTTGTTTGCAGCATAGGCTTATTCTGAAAACGTAGCTCTGTATACATTTCTGGAGATCGCGAATTATGTAGCCAGAAGTATGTATGGCTGCATGTTGTTTTAAAAAGGAACACTACAGCGCGGTATAACACCGTTTCTTTTCATGCACACCAGCTAACTGCTTACCTAAGAATGGACGAATTTCCTGCTGAATTTCCAGGTCAATCAGTGCTTTTGAAATCACTATTGGTTGAGTGTAGGGAAGAAGGAGGGTGGGTCAGTTGATCGCTCAGTCAGTCAGTCAATCAGTTAATTAGTTGGCCTCTAGTGGATTTATGCAAGAACAGCAGGTGCGAATGGCACTCGCGAGAGAAATTTGAGGTCTGAAAAAGCGTACACAGAAGCCTCTGGTGGATTTGTGAAAACAAACTGCATTTGTCAACTGCAAAAAAAAAATAAAAATGTACCTCCTGGGATGTATTTGCTGCTCTCTAGAAATGTATATAGGAGTACATTTTTAGAATGAGCCTAGGTTGTTCGTTTGTTACACAGGCCATATAACTATATTTAGCACTTTAGCAATTGCATAAGAGGTTTTGCTGATTTATAAAACTATGTGTGATTGATATAAGAATCTATCTATTTATTGCATTTTATGTCAATTCAGATTACAATTTTATTAATTGCAAAAGTTATAGACAGTACGATATGCAGTGAAATGCTTATGCAACAGCCCATACTCTTAAAAAACAAACACTATATAAATATATATATATATATATATATATATATATATATATATATATATATATATATATATATATATATATATATATATATATATAAATCATTAAAGAGCACAATAGTAAAAACAAAGACAATTTTAGATTATAGAAATATAAGTTATAGCTAGTAAAAAACAAATATATGAAGAATATAGCAATAGAATATCTAACAAAATGTCAAATTTAAAAAAGCTTAGCTACTGTATACAAATAAATGGAGAGAACATTCAGAGTGTTTCTAATAAAGTGTCTTGTGCACAGAAAATAAAGAGTGTTTCCTACTGGTGGTTTTTTAAGCCCACTCACCTGAATGGAGCACAATATACAGTATGACTGCACAATGTATGTACAGGGTGTGTGCAAATGTCCATATAGTGTGTCATAGTGGACAAAAAAACTGTGTATTTTCTGGGATGCTTCACTATGTCCCAACAAAAAGACTAGCATGTTTATTTTATTTAGTTCTCCTCTGTGTGTTTCTGTTGCATCTCTGACTTTCACCAATAATTCCACCAATTTTCCAGTTTGGTTCATAACAGTAACATTACACACACGGCTATTGTTTTTTGTAAATGAGACAGTATTTAAATATGTATTGTAATATGAACTATATTTTACTTTAGGACAGTTATGCAGTATGTTACTGGTTTTTAAAGTCACATTTTGAAAATGACTATATTTTATGGTAAAAATATGCAAACAATTCTGTAAATACATATACAGCAAGATAAATAGTGTTATAACTGTAAATACAGTATTTTTACTGTAATTGATTTACAGTAAGTTACTGACAAACTGCTGCCAGTAAGTTACTGTAGATTCTACAGAAAATTGTTAACAGAGTATACATGTTTTGATATAACAACCCTGAAAACTGGACTGACGCAGTTTCAATTTACTAGAACTTCTATGTTAAGCTGCTTTGACAATCTACATTGTAAAAGCGCTATAGAAATGAAGATGAATTGAATTTAATTGAATGACCAATCAGTGTCCCTGACAGCCGAGTAATAATGTTACTTATTACACAGCTGAAATACTTGATTCTGATTGGTCAATCACAACAATGCAAGAATGTTATTCCCAGATAACAACTGCTGAAAGTAATAACAAGTATTCTATGTACTTTAAATCATATTGATCGTTAGTGAATACATTCACATCTACATTTATATTATTTATATCTACATATATAATTATCTTTCACACCAACGTTCAGACAACCTGTCAGGCTTTATTTAGCAAGAACAATCACATTAATGTAGATTATCTCTTACACCTTTCCCATACAATTAAAACCAATCAGAGTAATTATTCGTTGAATTATTTAACAACAAGATGTTTGTTATTTCTATGTTCTTTACACAACTTAAGATCGTCTTTTGTTTTGGTATATAATAATAATAAAGTGTTTCAGTATTTTCATTATTAACTACTGAATTTAGAGTAAAAAAGGTGGAGTATTCACCAAGTCAGTTACCAGGTACTGGGACTGTAAAGCTGAAATTCTGATCTTAAATTGTAAATATGTTGTCTATTAATAGTTCTCCTACTTTCTGTAGTTTAATCTGTAATGTTTTGCTTTCTAAAATAAATACAAGCACATGAATCACAACAGGACGCAGCTGTAGACACAGTACATTTCTTCCTGTTTTTCTAACCTGTTATTATGTTTTTGATAGTGGCTTTTTTTTCACCTTTTTTATGTATATAGTTTTCTGGTAGTAGCTTATCATATTCAAAGCATGATATGATCAAACTCAGCAAGAATGTGCATTCATAATTTATGTTGAGTTAAATAGAATCTGATGCACACACCCTGTGTGTTGCAATTAGTTTTAATCAGAATGTTTGCATGTTTTCCCCTCTTTGTCTTTCGTAATAGACTGACAAGTGAGAAGTGGATGAATGTGCAAGTGGGAGACATTATCAAGTTGGAGAACAACCAGTTTGTCACAGTAATACATTTAGTGATTTACTAATCATATGTGCACAAAATGTATATTATTACATCACATTATTTCATGTAATATTTGTTGAGCGTACACTAAATCATTTTCTATCCTCCACATAGGCAGATTTGCTCCTGTTGTCTAGCAGTGAACCTCTCAACCTGGTTTACATTGAAACTGCAGAGCTTGATGGGTAAGTAACAGTTGTTGTTGTTTAAATATCTGAAGCCATTTGTGTTTGTGTTTTTGATGAAGCCAACATTTCTTTGTGAGAACAACAACATAAATCCTTTGCTGCCATTGCTTAAAGAATGCCTGATTTCAGATTTCTTTTTCCAATATAGGGAAACTAACCTGAAGGTTAAACAGTCTCTGACTGTAACAGGAGACATGGGGCACAATTTGGAGGCTTTGGCTGCATTCAACGGTAAGACTAAAAGGCTAATTAGTTTTTTCTTTTACTTAAAGGGTTAGTTCACCCAAAATTCTCATTCTTGTTATTGATTACTCATGTTGTTTCGTTCATTCTCAGAACACAAATAAGATATTTTAGATAAAATCAGAGAGTTTTCATTTATAGAGAACATACAGAAAGTCCAGAAAAAGAACCAAAATACTCGATCCAATACATCTATAATACATAAAAATAATAAAGAGCAAAAAAAAAACAGATCTAGGATGTTCCTAATTTTTTTTATTTAATTCACCTTATTTTAACATTCAACAAATCTGTTAACAAACAGAGTACTTCTGTGAGGTAGCTTGAAAAATCAAGTAATAAATAACATTAATTCTTTACTTTTAGACTTTAGTGCAACAGTAAATATAAAAAAGAATCTAATATAAAAACAAATAGCACCTCAACTTAAAATACCTGGCAGGCAATCCCAAGTTTAAATATCTCACAGTTTGCCGTACACGTTGTTGTTTCTGTGTGAAGTCAAGAAGGGGGTCTAACTCTGTGCCACCGCATACATATACAGTTGAAGTCAGAATTATTAGCCCCCTTTGAATTCTTTTTAAAAATATTTCCCATATGGTGTTTAACAGAACAAGTAAATGTTCACAGTACGTCTGATAACATTTTTTTTGTTCTGGAGAAAGTCTTATTTGTTTTATTTTGGCTAGAATAAAAGCACTTTTAAATTTTTAAAAAATCAATTTAAGGTAAAAATTATTGGCCCCTTTAAGCTATTTTTTTCATTAGTCTACAGAACATCATTATACAATAACTTACCTGCCTAGTTAACCTAATTAACCCAGTTAAGTCTTTAAATGTCACTTTAAGCTGTATAGAAATGTCTTGAAAAAATATCTAGTTAAAAAGTATGTACTGCCATCATGGCAAAGATAAAATAAATCAGTTATTAGAAACATGTTGTGTTTAGAAATTTGCTGAAGAAATCTTCTCTCTGTTAAACAGAAATGGGGGGCGGGGGGACAGGGGTGCTTATAATACAGGGGGCTAATAATTGTGACTTCAACTGTATATTTGAATCCTCATCGAAAGGTAACGTCTGATTCTGATCTATTCTGAAACCATTCTCAAACCTGATTACCGATGATGTGATTGGATCTGAACATCCCTACCAAAAACATTGTCAAAATATTCCATGTGACTTCAGTGGTTCAACTGTTATCATGAAAAGGTCCAAGAACACTTTTATGCACCAAAAAAATTGTAATTATGCAAAAATACAATTAGGCTATAAACAGAATATAAACAGAATTTATTACACAAACCTTTAGGCTATCAATAACCAAGCTCTTCTTTTTCATTCATTCATTAATTTAAGTTTAGCTCATTTTATTTCTGCCAAGTCTTCTTAACAATAACTTTTTCCTCCATTCTTCTGCATGTTTTCTTCAGGCGAGGTGTGTTGTGAGCCTCCTAACAACCGCCTGGATCGCTTTACGGGCACACTGACGTTTGACACGCAGAAATACTCACTGGACAATGAGCGGGTCCTGCTGAGGGGCTGCACTCTCAGAAACACAGACTGGTGTTTTGGCCTGGTGCTGTTTGCAGGTAATAAACTCAGACAGATGTGTGGTGTGTGGGTGTGCGTGTGTGTGTGTGTGTGTGTGTGTGTGTGTGTGTGTGTGTGTGTGTGTGTGTGTGTGTGTGTGTGTGTGTGTGTGTGTGTGTGTGTGTGTGTGTGTGTGTGTGTGTGTGTGTGTGTGTGTGGTTTTGTGTGTGTTCTGGACCTGTCTGATATCCCATTTCAATTCATCAGCATGTGTGTGATGTAAAGTAGTCTGCTGGTCCACAGACTAAATAGACTGGGCAAAATGACCCTTAAATAAATACTACACTGGATTTATGATTGAATTCATTATGATGATTTTTTTTTCTTGGTGGTAAAGTTATTCCATGCTAATAAATGTTTTTCTTGCAGGCCCAGAAACCAAGCTGATGCAAAACTGTGGAAAAAGCACCTTTAAGAGGACGAGTATTGATCGACTCATGAATGTGTTGGTGCTTTTTGTAAGTTGAAAGTAGAGCTGTACTTTAAAGTTATCTGCACCATTGCATGTTGTTTTCTATCTGCTGTGGAGATGAATATTAGCATTTAACCACAAGACTAAAAAAACACTTATTTCATTGGACAGGATTTTTACTTAAAGCTAGAGCTTTTGAAAAAAACAAATGCATCTGAAAAAATGATTCTGCCTCAATTCTGAGATTTTCAAAATGCATCGCTATAGAGATTGGCAATGTGTTGTTATAGAATAATGCATTTATCTCTATTGATTTATTGTATCATATATACACTCCTCAGCAATAAATTGTAAGCTCTTACACTACACATAAGCAAGAAAGTCATATATGGACATTTTTTTGTGGCAGCTTGTTGATACTGTACCTTGTCACTTACGAGAAGCTTGTTCATTTATTTGTTAAAATTCTCTGCATCTGTGCTCGGTTTCTCTTGTTCCACTTTATCGTTAGAGACAGAATTTTATGGAATGCATATTTTCAGCTTCTCATACATTCAAAAAGCATTTGTTAAGCTCTGTTTGAGTGTTTGTAAGATGTTTTTCATAAGGCATTTCTATAAAAAGGTGATTCTGTGGTTTACATTGTGCACTCCTGCATGTGTCCGCTATGGCAGAACACAACATGCTGTGATGTTGACTCCCATTATCTATTTTCTCTCGAATGGATTCTATGAGTAGTTTTTAACAGCAGATGGCTGGTCTAGTAGTGGTTTAGTACTCTAGACTAGTTTTTAACCGTACACTTAAATGCTCATGAGAAAGAGCACTTGTGCATTTGGTAAGTAAAAGCAGCCTTTTTAGTGATGAGATTATCACTATTATAAAAATAGCTCACTTTGAACTTCAACTATTTCTTAAGCTATTTAAATCGTTTTAATTTGGAAAGATAGTAATAAGTACAAATAGTACTTATAAATAACATTATTTTGCAAAAATTTCAAATAGTTGTCATTTTTATATATATATATATATATATATGTATGATATATATTCAGCTTTCATTCATTTATTCATTCATTTTCTTTTCGGCTTAGTCATCTGAGGCTGTGAGGTGATCGTGCTACCCACTGCCCCACTGTGACGCCCCAAACTTGTAATATATTTTAGTAATTAATTAATAATTATTATAGGTTCAAGTGGCGTTTGTAAGGAATTGGATTCAAAGTATTGTTGTTTGTAAAGCATACAACATCATCTGCTGTTAAAAACTAAGCTCAGAATCCATTCAAGAGAGAATAGCGATGCATATTGAAATCTTCTCAAATTATTTTACTTGTTGCCATACCATGCTAGTAAAGCAGTGTTGTACAAATTTTTATAAACAGCAAGCCAGTTCTTTAAAATTGTGGTAATATCTCACATTATTCCTGTTTTTATGGTGTACCTGATAAATCAGTAAATGTAGTGTTTGTGTGAAAGTGCCTCTAGAACAGGGGTGCCTAAACTCTTTCTTATGAAGAGCCAAAACCTAAACTTGATTGAGGGTGGTGGGGCGGAGGTAAATATACCACACCGTAAAGTTGTCAATGTAATTTCCTAGTTTATTATTATAATTCATTGTATAATTTAATTGATATTATAATTTATTATATTTAAAAGTTAAGAATTATACATTTTTCTACATTTTATAATGAACATCTTACAATAAAAACATGAAGAATCCCATTCATAACACCAAAAAATACACTTTGCCTCGATTTGCTTGCTGAGGTCTTTTGCAATGTCTGCTAGCCATCAAGTGACTATTTATTTATTCTTTCGTTGTTGTTTTTTTTTTTTTATCTGATTCATTCACAACATTTAAGTTTGAGTTTTCATTTGAGTTTGCTTTTTGCTGAACAGTTAAAAAACAAAAGTTATGTTAATTTAGAAATGACAATCTTTGTTAAAGGCATTCTCCCCAAAATTCCCCGTCATTTTCCCTCTCTTCTCAGATGGGATCAAATCAAAGGTGGGGCCAAATCAAAGGTTACCGTGAGCCAATCTCTGCTCTACAAGGACTTTAAATAATATGCTGGACTTAAAATGGACTTTAAATGATAATTATGAGACAAAAATAAATCATAGATACATTTATTATTACATTTTATATCTATAAGCATAAATAGGTATTAATAAATGAGTATTTATACTAGTATATACAGTTAAAGTCAGAATTATTAGCCCCCCTTCTTTTTTAAATATTTCCCAAATTATGTTATCAGAGCAAGAAAATTTTCACAGTATGTCTGATAATATTTTTTTCTTCTGGAGAAAGTCTTATTTGTTTTATTTCAGCTAGATTAAAAGCAGTTTTAATTTTTTTTTACAAAACATTTTAAGGTCAAAATTATTAGCCCTTTTCAGCTATATGTTTTTTCAATAGTTTACAGAATAAACCATGGTTATACAATAACTTGCCTAATTGCCCTAACCTACCTAGTTAACCTAATTTATTTAGTTAAGCCTTTAAATGTCACTTTAAGCTGCCTAGAAGTGTCTTGAAAAAGAACTAGTCAAATATTATTTACTGTCATCATAGCAAAGGTAACATAAATCAGTTATTAGAAAAGAGTTATTAAAACTATTATGTTTACAAATGTGTTGAAAAAAATCTTCTCTCCATTAAATAGAAATTGGGCAAAAAAAAAAAAAAAAAGCGGGGCGAATAATTCAGAGGGGCTAATAATTCAACTGTATATTTACATATTTATATTTGTACAACAGTGTTGCCTATTTGGTTAGTGTGGTGAATGATGATAATTTAAAGTTAATAGGTTTGATCTATTGTGATTTCTCTGCAGATTTTTGCACTTCTAGCACTGATGTGTATCATTCTGGCCGTGGGACATGGGATTTGGGAAAACTACACAGGGTCAAAGTTCAATGTCTTTCTTCCACATGAAGAGAACGCAGCCTTTTCAGCCTTTCTCACTTTCTGGTCGTACATTATAATCCTCAACACTGTGGTGCCCATCTCACTTTATGTCAGGTAGTGTATAGTGTACACTAAGCAATAGAGTATGTTTCAGTAACGCAAACAGTCAATTTCACGCTCTGTGTTCTCATTGTAGTATGGAAGTGATTCGGTTAGGCAACAGTTACTACATCAACTGGGACAGGAACATGTATCACACCAGAACTGACACTCCAGCTGAGGCTCGAACCACAACACTCAACGAAGAGCTCGGTCAGATCAAATACATCTTCTCAGACAAAACTGGCACGCTCACCCAGAACATCATGACCTTCAACAAATGCTCCATCAACGGGAAATCTTACGGTCTGGACCAATATCACTTTTTTTCCATATTTATATGCCTATGTTATTTCAAACAAGATATAAATCTGACATTAAGAGACTATTTGAAGTTAAAAGTATGTCTTCTCTGCCCTACAGGAGATGTTTTCCAGCACTACAGTGGACAGACGCTGGAGATCACAGAGGTGAGAAGCAAAGTCTCAAACAAACACAAGGCTCTTAAACCAGTCTGGTTAATGAGGCTGGGTTAATGAGTTTGACTTTTTTGGTAATAGGAAACGACACCAGTGGACTTTTCCTTCAACGGACTTGCAGATCCAAAGTTTCTCTTTTATGATCACAGCCTGGTAGAGGCGGTAAAGCTGGAGCTTCCAGAAGTTCATGCTTTCTTCAGACTACTCGCTCTCTGTCACACTTGCATGGCAGAGGAGAAGAAGGAGGGTGAGTGACTGCATTTAACATTTAAAAGTCTAAAATTTGGGCGATCAGATTTTAAAGTAAAAATCCAGCAACTGCAGCAGAATTTAGAGGAGCTTGCAATATTTGACTATTTTCAGGATGATTTGGGCAGCATTAGATGAATCGGTAGCAGTTTTCTTGGAGTATTCGTAATGAAATCTTTATTACTAATATGTTTATCATGATGCCTTTATAATTGTCGTTTTAATAACAACATCACAAATGCTGTAGCACACCTTAATTTTGTCATTAAATGTCATTAAATATTAATGACACATTTATAAAATTATTGACACTGTATAATTCCACTGAAAAGTTATTTAGAAAAATATTCACAAAATTATAGATAATAGACACATTTATGATGTCCTTATGACAAACATGTTTATGACATATTTATGACAAGTTTTGTTGTCTTGGCAAGTTGTCATGACAAAGACAAACGGGTTGTGATGTATCTGTTTATCATAACAAAGATATTTGAAACAATGTCAAAATTGCATTTACTTTGCGAATGACACTGAATAACAGTTGTCATAAGCATGCAAAAAACATTAGATTCTCCTTTATATTCTTGACATTGATGATGTCATGACACAGCGGCTGGAGGAGCATCCGCTGTATAAAACATATGCCAGAATAGTTGGCGGTTTAATCCACTGTGGCGATCCCTGATAAATAAGGGACTATAAGCTGGAGAAAATGAATGGGTCTTGTGATGAGTGCTCTAAACTTTAATTGTCGGCAAAAGACAAGTGCAGTAGTTCTATTGTGCTGATTCATTGAACAAACAAATACACAAGTTTTAATGCTAATGATTTTGCAAAGATTTCTAAAAAATCAATTAAAGTTTTTTGTGTTTCAAATATGAAGTTTTATAGGGTTAAGAGATTGCCTTTGTATAAATTACAGAACCTAATGGTTCTTGAAGTCATGAAAAGAAATAAACATATTTCACAGCAATACAATAAAAGAAATGCAGCAAATCTTGTCGCATATTGTCTTGCAAAATCCTAGATCCTAGAATGAACAGATCCTTGTGCACTGCATTCATAGCACACATTTATATTAAGTTTATGCAGTCATTATAAAGTATCTTATATGTCTACATCATACATAAACATTGAAACATAATAGTTTAAAAAACTAATTTCGAATGACAACTAACACTAGTATTCAGCTTAAAGTGCAATTTAAAGGCTTAACTAGGATAAATAGATTAAATAGGCAAGTGAGGGTAAATGTTTTTCAGCCAATGATGAACTTCTTCAATGATGAGCTTCTTAAGCATCCGTTTGGTTGTTAAAGTGTAAAAAGAGAGAAAAGAAAAGTTTACAGGCACTATTTATTAGCAGCAAGCTAGCGCAGACACTCAATTCATTTTCGTCTTTTAAAGGCATGACGTGGAAAAATAGAATTGAATGCAGTGCTTCTTGTTTGGTCTGATTACCACTTTATATCAAATCTCAGCCAGGCAGTGAAGATCACTGTTTTTTTTTTTTAAGAAATCTGATCTTAAACGTGGCAATTTTGTATGGGATGACAATTCACCAGAAGCCCTGGGGCTGGCTGACTGAAATATGTACCTTATTAGGAAAGTCATTGTATAACAGTGGTTTGTTGTGTAGACAATCGAAAAAAAGTAGGTGATCTTCCACAATGCTAACAGCTTAGCATATATCTCTGAATCCCAATCACTCCACTGCCGACCGGAGCCACACCTCCTGAAACAAGAGCATGCGCACCTTAAGGATCACAGAACCCTCTCTCATGTGTTAAAAGCGACTAGTGCTTGTCCGGCGGCGTGCATTACTAAGCCAAACTGACATGCTATTTCAGAGCGAATATTCAGAGTAGCATGGTAAACAATATAAGGAAAGCGTCACAGGTTGTCATTGTTCAAAAGCCAATGAGCCAATGTGATGTGAATAAAAAACCATCTTCACCTCAGTAAAGCTGACTAGGCGGAATAGCACTATTTACTTGTGTTTTGCTGTTAAACTAAATAAAATCTACATTATCGATGCTGTAAAAGGACCTTATGAAACTGAAAATAGTCACATCAATCTTTCACAAGAAGATTTTAGTGGCTGAACAACACTTCTGTGCAGATATAACCCATTTGTTACAACAACATCTATTGTTACATCAGTTTTGCATGAAGCTAAAATAGTTTTAAAACAGAACATTACCTGTCTAAAAGAAATGCTTCAGCCATGGTGTCATCCTTTCTCAAGCGTGCAAATGTAACTCCATTATTAATTCAGGTTTTTAAAAAGTTTTGATTCAGTATGTTTTTACCGATCTCTCTCTCTCTCTCTCTCTCTCTCTCTCTCATGAAACGGCGGAGCTGCTTACAAACGTCTGCGTAGTTCTTCAAATCTGCATTTCCTGCCTGACAGTTTGAGCTACTTATCGGAATTAGGAGAGATGTCCACCCGACTCTATTTAATTGCATAACATTTTTTAGTTTTTGCCTTACCCAGAATATAAAAATACATATAAATACATTTAGATCATTTACTTTTTTCATTGCTATTGTAATGTGAAGAGACTTTCAATCACCACAACAAAAAAATGTTTCTGAAGACAATCACCTACTGCACCTTTAAAAGGGCTAATGATATTTAAAAAAAAACTGCTTTTATTCTAGCTGAAATAAAAGAAAAATGACTGTCCTCAGAGGAAAAAAATATAGAAAATGCTGTGAAAAATTCCTGCTCTGTTAAACGTCATTTAGGAAATATTTGAAAAAGAAAAAAAATCACGGGAGGGCTAATAATTTTTACTTCAACTGTAAACATTAAATCATGCATTTCCCCCTCTGTTTTGGCTGTGTAGGTCATCTAGTGTACCAGGCCCAATCTCCTGATGAGGGTGCCTTGGTCACGGCCGCGCGTAATTTCGGTTTTGTGTTCCGCTCTCGCAGTCCTGAGACGATTACAATAGAAGAGATGGGCATTCAGAGGACCTATGAGCTGCTAGCCATCCTGGACTTTAACAATGTGCGGAAACGGATGTCTGTGATTGGTACGCACTCTGGTTTTGAACGGTACTACTTGACTGATAAAAAAGGCTCCTTTCTTATATGTTTTGTGCTTTTCTAATAGTCCGTAATCCGGAGGGCAAACTCTCTCTGTACTGTAAAGGAGCAGACACCATCATCTACGAAAGACTACATCCTTCCTGTAGCAAACTGATGGAGGTCACCACTGAGCACCTCAATGTGAGTCAACACTAGAGGGCACTATAAGGAGGCTACAAAGAGACTGCTATCAGCTTTTGTTTACATGCTTTCATTAGAAAATGGTTTCTAAGCTCATTATTAGACATTTAGATTTCAGGGTAAAGCTATATTTCAGTAATTTAAGCTTTGCATGTTGACAGCTCTCTGATCTCATAATCAAGTGAACATAACAGAAAGCAGATTTCACTGTTGGATTTGAAATGACAGTGGGAATGCACATCATTCATAATCAAATATACTTATACTGTACATTTTAACTGTGCTTTCTCAGAAACTTAGAACAACAATACTTGTCAGTACATTTAAATACGTTTTGGAGACATTATAATTACTCTTGGAACAATTTTTTAAATCTAATTTTTCTTCTTCTAAATATTTCTATCAATATTTTCTTAACTTTCAATTAAATATTAACTATCAATTAAAAAAATATACTTACTTTACATTACATTACATTATTATTATTTTTGCCTTTGCTTTCAAATGAAACTCTCAATTGAAATTTCCTTAGTCTTCTGTTTTGGCTGAATGCTGGAAACGTTGATGTGAATAAGTAAATATAGTCAACCTAACACACATTGCATTCCCAAACACCACACTAAAAAATGTCTGATTATAGTTATTTAATCACAGCCTTTGATTGCAGAACACCACTAAACTATATTTTGGCGCAGCCCAATTTGGTAACTTTGAATATAATTCATTCATACACTTTCTTCACTTAGGAACCCCCAGGTTGGAGGTTTAATCCAGATTTTTGAGCTGCCTATATAAACTCATTATTTTCTCTCTCAAATTGAACCTCAAAAGCAAGTAAACTCCACTGAGAAGCTCTTCAGATTCCCTCAAGAGGAATATGCTTGACTGTCATTCGGTATACTATACATCTTACCATATATTTGACAGTGAACGAATCTTTTTCTCTCTCTGTAGGAGTTTGCTGGAGAAGGTTTGAGGACTCTTGTTCTAGCGTATAAGGATTTGGATGAAGACTATTTTGCAGAGTGGAAACAGCGCCATCATGAGTCCAGTGTGGCAATGGAGGACAGAGAGGAGAAACTGGACAAAGTGTATGAGGAGATAGAGAAAGACATGATGGTATACATGCTATATGAAAAGTATTCAGCACTATACTTAATAACTCATTAATAACTCATTAACTCATATGCTTAATAACTCACTACTCATTAATAAATGAACAAATAACAATCGACTAGCTTATATTATGAAATATTGAAAGACATCACAAAAATATGCTATATTAAAATAAATATATGATCTGATTTCAGTGTCTCTTTTGTCTAAAAAAAACTATCTGCACAAAATGCTTATTTTCTGATTTCACATTAGGTCAGTGATTTCCCTGGTCATGTGTTTTACTCTATAGCCGTTTCATTTATTGTAAATATTAGGTGTTTGTTAGAACATGATGCTGAAGGGCTTGTCATGTTTTTGGACAGTTAATTGGGGCCACGGCCATTGAGGATAAACTTCAAGATGGAGTCGCTCTTACCATTGAGCTGCTGGCGAAAGCAGAAATCAAAATCTGGGTGCTCACCGGGGACAAGCAAGGTGCTCCACTATATAATTCTATTTTCTCGTCTTCCTTTTAACAAACAATATATTGTTATGAATATTTTTTTGTTAGCAAACATTATTTGGTTTAGAGTCCCCCTGAAATCAAATCTAACCATATTGATTTTGTTAGCTCACATTGCTAGTTTTGTGGTGAAGAATTCATCTGTGCATGTCATTAAGAAAGCAAAGGAGTTTGCCCTTCCATCTTTAACTAAAATCTGAAAATGCACTTCCTGTCTGTTTTCAGTTCAATTCTTTGATGACATATATAAATTGGGTGTGGCTCATACTTAACCACACCCATTCAACTGTCAAAACTTACAGAAATGGTGAGGAGGAGGTGTCTGTTACGTCTCCCCAAACCCTTTTCCTGATCTTCCTAATTGAAATGCCTACTTCTGTTTAACAGAGAGATTTTTCTCAACACATTTCTAAACATAATAGTTTTAATAACCAGTTTCTAATAACTAATTTATTTTATCTTTGCCATGATGACAGTAAATAATATTTTACTATATAGTTTTAAGACACTTGTATTCAGCTTAAAGTGACATTTAAAGGCTTAACTAAGTTAATTAGGCAAGTTAGGTTAATTTAGCAAGTCATTGTTTAATAATGGTTTGTTCTGTAGAATATCTGAAAAAAAAACCTGCTTAAGGGGGCTAATAATATTGACTTTAAAACTATTGATAACAAATTAAAAATGGCTTTTTTTTCTAGCCGAAATAAAACAAATGAGAGTTTCTCCAGAAGAACAATTATTATAGAACATACTGTGGAAAAATCCTTGATCTGTTAAACACCATATGGGAAATATCTGAAAAAAGAAAAATTCACAGGTGTCACAGCTGTATATTTTTGCATTAAAATTTTGTATAAAGAATATGTACAGTTAGTTTAGTTTAAGGGAAAAAGTCACAAAAACGAAGCCAAAAACACACACTAAATATTTCAGAGTAAGACGAGTCTTGTTGGCGAGAAAATATGGAAAACCCTTGTTTTAAACAATTAAGGTAATTAGTTACAAAAGCATTTTTTTACTTGTCTTGTTAAAGTGCAGCTCATTAATTATTATTTTTTTGTTAGTTTTTTTAAATGATCATCCCTGCCCAAAGAGTATTTTAGACTAAACGTTTAAGTTTTAAATTATAAAAAGTGCAATGATTCAATTATGCAATATACTGAGGTCAGTGCATGTTTCATTAATAATCGTTATGTAATGTAACGATTGCCCACCATTAGTGTGTCTGCGTGAGTTCTCATGAGTGTGCTCAGGGTTGGCAGGATTGCTAATTAGGATCCTTTAATGATAAATGACCAAATGTCCCCCTGAAAACTTTGCTGAAACGGTCTTTCTCCAACAGAGACCGCTGAGAACATTGGCTACTCCTGTAACCTGCTGAGGGAGGAGATGAACGACGTGTTTATTGTTGCAGCACATTCACCTGAGGAGGTCAGACAGGAGCTGAGGTAATGTAACTCACACAGATGACATAATGCCTGTCACACATTGAGTAATAAAACACATGGTTGAAAATGGGATTTCTGACTTAGGTAGGATTTAAACAAAAATGGATGTATATTGGGCCTAAAATGAACAGTAAATCAGAATAGGCGTGTGCAGTGTATTGAACAGTTTCAGTGTTGTTGATCAATTTGGTCACACTTTATTTTGATGGTCCATTTGTTGAATTTACATTACATTGCAACTAATTCTCATTAGATTATAGGTAGATTGTTAGGTTGGGTTTAGGGTTAGAATTAGTGTAAGTTGACATGTACTTATAGTCAGTTAAATGTCTGTTGAAGGAGCAGTATTAACAGATATTAAGCAGACAGTCTACTAATACTCAAATGAACCATCAAAATAAAGTGTTACCATCAATTCTAATGACTGAGAAAGCAATAGGGCAGGGCCGGAGTGGGACTATTTTTCAGCCCTGGAGTTTCAAGCCTCAGACCGGCCCACCTCAGTTCACCACTGACTATATTAAAATAAGGTTATTTCCAATTCAGTTTCTAATTACACTATCACGTCTTTTTTTGAGAAATCAGCACTTTTAGAACTTCAAATGTTCAACAACCCTTACAGTATTATGTCTTAACAATAAAAATGAAAAAAAAAAAAATTGTTACTCAGACAAGGACCGAACCCGGGTTGGCCGCCTCATAATCTAACGTACTAACCACTGTACCTCAACTGCTGTACGTTTAATGGTGACTTATCTAGTTATATCATCATTAACCTGCATCCTGCTCACAAGGCTACGAGAAAATAGATAAAAAGAGCAGAGCTGCGGTAAAATAATTAATAAGAAGGCTGTAGTCAGGTAAATAATTAAATTATTTTTAAAAAGTGTGACTGCTGAGAGCAACCGATTCTGGAACTAGGGACACCGGCCCTCGCGGCCAAAAAACGGACCGGCCCACCGGGAATTCTCCCGGTCCTCCCGATTAGCCAATCCGGGCCCGCAATAGGGTGTGTTTAAACTGTCAAACTATTATTACGTAAATACCTGTATGTACTCTGATGCATAGCACTGTGATCTTTTCTAATTTGCAGCTCATAATAACAGTGTTTTCAGTGTCTCAGCTGCTTGGTTGACAGAACCTGATCCACATTTACTCTGTGCATTGGATTTTGACTGCTTGAAAAATGGATTTGAGAATACTACAATACTAGTGGCGCTAATAATGTAAATTATATAGTTATGACAATAATGTAATTATGATTATTATTATTAGTAGTAGTAGTCTTTCTTATTATTTCTTCTTATTATAAAAATAAACAGGTAACACTTTACAATAAGGTTCATTAGTTGATGCATTTACTAAAATGAACTAATCATAAACAACACATGTTCAGCATTTATTAATCATAATTGAACATTTACTAATGCATTATTAACATCCAAGTCCATACCTGTTAATATTAGTTAATGCACCATGAGTTAACATGAACTAACAATGAACAACTGTAATTTCATTAACTAACGTCACCTAACATGAACCAATACCGTAGTAAATGTATTGTTCATTGTTTGTTCATGTTAGTAAATGCATTAATTAACATTAACTAATAAACCTTATTGTAAAGTGTGACCAATAAACATTATTACAAAATATTTAGCATATAATTGCATTAGTACATTGTACAAATTAGTATTGTAGTGGTACTTCATTTCATTTGTAAAATTTGATTAGACAATGTTAATAATAAATACTAATATTACTGCTTCTACTTCTTACTTGCGTATTTCCAAGGCTATTTATATCGAAGTTGATATTTAGCCACACCATATTGGTGTTTCGTAACATATGGTTTTTATGAGGTGGGTTGTTAGTCCGACGCTCAACCCCCAACCTGGAGGACCAGGACATACACTCACATACACTATGGACAAAATCAGAGCACCCGGAGGAAACCCATGCAAACACGGGGAGAACATGCAAACTCCTCACAGAAATGCCAACTGACCCAGGTGGGGCTCGAACCAGCGTGAGGCGACAGCATTACCCACTGCGCCATCGTGTCGCCCACTTCTACTACTACTACTACTACTACTGTTAATATTTTTCATTCATTTATTTTCTTTTCAGCTTAGTCCCTTTATTAATCTAGGGTCACCACAGCGGAATGAACCGCCTTTAATAATATTGATGATGATAATAATAAATATAGCAATCAGATGTATTTGCTGAATTTGTTTTTTTTTCCAATTAAATAAAGCATGTACCGTTTAATGGTTGGTAAATAGTTGAGCATGTGTTGCTGAATGGTTAGTTGTCAGCCACAGGTTGCATCTTTGGGGATGAACATTATATTTAAAATGTAGTTTACAAAATCTATTTTGTGCATTACTTTTTTTTTCAAGTTTTATATTTACATCTTTTTTTCTTTTTTCTTTTTTGCAAAGGGATGCCCGTCTAAAGATGCAGCCTTCTACTGAACAAGATAAATTTCTTATCCCTGAGGTTATCCTGGGTAATACTCCTAAAGTGGTTCAGGATGAACATGTGAACGGAGAATATGGACTGGTGATAAACGGACACAGTCTGGTAAGAAGCATGTCTTCCTCCCTGTCAGTCCAAATCAAATCTTTGTGCATGTTCAATTGGACTTGAACCATATTTAGGAAGTGTGAACATTAGCCTACTTGCAATTTTTTCATTCCTCAGTTTCCAAGATAAACAAACTCTGCGTTTCAGGTTGACAAAACCAATCAAATCCAACCAATTTAAAGTAACGCCTCCCTTCCTTTTAAGAATTGGCTCATTTTACAAATCCCCAGTAGATAAACAGTAGCCTACGGTTTTACCATTTATTAATCCATTCAGCCAATCTGCGGGTCTGATGGGAGCACTTTTAGCTTAGCTTAGTTTAGCTTAGCATAGATCATTGTATCGGATCAAACCATTAACATAACTCTCAAAAATGACTAAAGTGTTTCAAGAATTTTCCTATTTAAAGATTGACACTTCTGTAGTTACATCTTGTACTAAGACAGGCAGAAAATAAAAAGCTATTTTAAGGTTGATAAGGCTAGGTTACTCTTATTCTGGCATAATAATCAAGCCATCCCTAATGAAAAAAACAGCTTAAACCAGCCTAGGCTGCACTGTTAGACCTTACCAGGCTTTTTTACAGATGAACACTGGCAACACCGTTGCCAGCTACTCACTGTAAAAGTTTGGTTACAGTAAGTAACTGGCAACAGTGTTGCCAGTTAATTACTGAAACTGAACCATTACAGTGAGTGGCTGGCAACAGTGTTGCCAGTTGTTTACTGTAACCGAACCATTGCAGTGAGTAGCTGGCAACAGTGTTGCCAGTTAATCACTGTAATAGAGCAGCAGTGGTAACTAACTGGAAACTGTGTACAGTTAATTACTGTACTGTAGTGTTACAACTCACAGCATTATACTGCATACACAATAGTATGTCAAGGTGTTACTAAAATTATTTAGTATTCTTACCTGTTATTAATTCTTTAAATTAAGTTGTAAATTCTGACAAATTTATTTTATTGTTTTGGCAGCAAACAAATATAAAACAGAAAATGTATAACAAAATTAAGAAATCAGCAGATATAAATATCATCTTACATATTACTGAGAGCCCCAGGTCTGCACAGCAAGGCTGCAGTCAAACTAACGTTTAAGCATGCAAAATTCTGTCATATGGCTCTGCGAAAAGGAGTGGGATTAAACAAAATATTTAGAGATTGAAAAAGCAAGCAACTGGTCCATAATTTTTGTTCAGAGAGGTCATGGTTTGATCTTTGATTAGTCTCAAGCAATCACATGATGTAATTTCACAGTTCAGAGTTCTCCAAGCTTAAACTTTCCAATGCTGCAAACTGTAAAATTTGTCGCATGAGCATGCATTCCAGGTCTGCAGCATTCACATGCGTATGAATGGAAGTCTAAAGGGAGAAAAGTGCAGTGTGACTGGGACTTTAAGCTGTAACTTTAATTAAACACACCTGATAAAACTAATTAAGACTCGTTAGAAATCTACAGGTAATGTTGAAGAAGGGTGGGAAATAAACTCTGCTGCCCTGCAGTTCTCCAGGAACTTGGAGTTTGACCCCCATGGTATATAGCAGGGGTGCTTAATCCTGTTCCTGGAGATCTACGTTCCTGCAGATTTCAGTTGCTACCCATATCAAACACACCTGCCTGTAATTATCACGTGGTGTTCAAGTCCTAATTAATTGGTTTAGGTGTGTTTGATATGGATAGCAACTGAAATCTGCAGGAAGGTAGATCTCCAGGAACAGGATTAAGCACGCCTGGTATATAGCATACTTTTAAAGCAACTGCTAACATTTATCAATCACATATCCAGTAAACACACACACACACACACACACACACACACACACACACACACACACACACACACACACACAAAGTGCTGCAGTGAAATGTGTTACTCTCTCCTCAATGCTGACCATGCAAAAAAAAACAAAAAAAAAAAAAAACTGAACAGCAAAAAACAAAATAATTATTTTAAATTTTAAAGTTTTAAATAATTAAAAGCTCTGTCAAATCTCAAAAAGTTTAAAATAATTATAGAAAACAAAAATAAAGTTGGCAACACCGAAAAACCAAAGGATCCAATCTTTTATTGTTATAATTATCTCATGACAACAAACTTTTTTATTGTTTCAAATATAAATTCATAGATGGAAACAGCTCTGAAAAATACTTAGCAACAAACTCACAACCTGGGACCGGACAGGGGAGCTTTTGTGTGTGGATGGCTATGTGTATCATGTTTTTGTGATTCCCTGTGATGATGTGCACATGTTACCTTACTGAGATGATGGAATTTAATTTTGGCTTAGTTGCCAGAAAGATACATACAACTGTTAGCATCTGTACATTATGGCAGTATGCAATATCCAATAAATACATATACTTAAACAAAAGTAATGTAAGAAGTTATATGAGGAGAGGCTAACTAGCTAACAATGTAGCTTTCAAGTACACAGTTCAAGATAACAACAATATAACTTAAAACACAGCCTTATTTTATAAACCCTCAAAAACATTTGAACACATTTTACTTACTCGTTTAGGATTCTTATTTAAAGCCTAAAACATATCAGACTCAACATCTGAATTGATAGACAGAGAATAGAGCACACTCAGCAGTAAACAAATCAAACACCTGGCTCTCTTAAAGGGCCAGCATTTTCTGAAAACTCTTATTAACACCTTTGTGTTTAGAATAAGACGGACAGCCTGTGGGAGTGTGTGGTGATGCCTAAATCATTGTTTTTTGCAGTTATTTACTGCACAATCTACAGAGTAACAGTGCAGTTATACTAATTAAACACACCTGATCAAACTAAATCTAAAGGTAGTGTGTTGAAGCAGGGCTGGAACTAAATTCTACTAGGCTGTGGCCTTCCAGGAGTTTGACACCCCTGGTACATAGCATATTTTCAAAGCAACTGCCTACATTTATCACAGTTATGCACATATTGTTTAATAAAAATATACTATAATATAAACTTCATCCATAGAAAAAAATAAATAAATAAATAATCTGATTCTCATGTCGTTCCAAATCTGTAGTAAAAATAATAAAAAACACAACAAGTATCATGATTTATACATTTATTTAGGAAAGCCTTTATACTGTTAATGGCACTTTTACTTGCCAGTTTTCCAGAGAAATTCATTGAGTCTCTGCAAAAATGTATGTGCGTGTTGTTTAAGATATATATATATATATATATATATATATATATATATATATATATATATATATATATATATATATATTTTTTTTTTTTTTTTTTTTTTTTTTTTAATAACACATTTTTAGTAGTTATTTAGCAAAATACTAATATTCAGTTGAAAGTGCAATTTAAAATCTTAAGTATAGGTCAAACTAGGCAATTAAATTAGATTAATTATAGAAAAAGTAAACAAAGTTAAAAATTTATTGTGACAATTTCTTTGCTCTGTGTGAATATTTTTGCCTTTAAATGTATTTCGTCCATATCTTACAATTACCTTTTAATAAGCTCTGTGGCATTGGTTGACTCCTGATACTCAATGTTAAAAAACATAAAAGGAACCCAAGAAAACACAGAGATAAAATAAATATAAAATAGCAACATAAAGCATCAGAATAGATGGGGTAATAATGGTTGATCAGTAATTTACCATTTATTATCACGGTAAATATCTGTAATGGTACATAGAGTAAATTACTGTAATTTATTCTTTGCACTACAGAATTTCATACAAATCCTGCTCCTTTTACAGTAAAATACTGTTTCTTTTCATTACAGCTAAACACTGGCTATTTTACAGTTATTTACTGCATAATCTACAGTAAGGGTTAACAGTGTGGTTTAAGCTGGATTTTTTTGCAGGGATGGCTGCAGTAGACACACTGATCTTATTCAGTGCCTGAAATTAATAAACTTTCTAGTTCAAATAGACACGGTTTAGGATCAGCACCAAAGTAAATATGTTCTTAATTGTCTCCCACAAAAATCGTCATGGCATTGATTATATTTATTGTCAAGTTGATGCTGCGTAATATCATTGTGCCTGCTGCAACCATAGTACGGCAGAAAGGTTCTTTTTTTATAACACCTGAATGAGATTATAGTTCCTAATTATATAAGCGTAGACTAGAGTGTTGCAGACTTTGTTGTCATTCATGCTGTAAAGGTTTCATATCTGTGTATATTGGGTATCTGCAGGCGTTCGCTCTGGAGAGCAGCATGGAGCTGGAGTTTCTGCGGACAGCATGTATGTGTAAGACGGTGATCTGCTGTCGGGTAACTCCTCTACAGAAAGCTCAGGTCGTGGAGCTCGTCAAGAGATATAAGAAAGCTGTCACTCTGGCCATAGGAGATGGAGCTAATGATGTTAGCATGATTAAAGGTGAGTATAAGGATTACGTCAACACACATCTATAATAAAAGAAGGAACTTTGTGGTGTTTTATGATATAAAGTGGTATTTCTGTTAGAATGTGGAAAAAGTTTAAATAATTTGTTGGTATTACGTCAAAAATTTGAGTTAGCACTCACTTACTATGCTTTGGCTAAGTCCCTGGTTTATTAGGGGTTCCCACAGTGGAATGAACCGCCATTGTAGATTTATTGCAGCGTTCATTTTTTGTAAAGTTTATTGTCTATACCAGTGGTCACCAAGCTTGTTCCTGGAGGGCCTGTGTTCTGCAGATTTTAGCTCCAACCCTAATCAAACACACCTAAACAAGCTAATCAAGCTCTTACTAGGTATACTTGAAACATCCAGGCAGGTGTGTTGAGGCAAGTTGGAGCTAAACCCTGCAGGGACACCGGCCCTCCAGGACCGAGATTGGTGACCCCTGGTCTATACAATTGTAGTATTGTTATTTGAATTAGCCTAGAACAGGCATATGCAAACTTGATCTTGGAGGGCCGGTGTCCTACAGAGTTTTGCTCCAACCCTATTGAAACACACCTGCCTATAGCTTTCTAGAAATTTTAATTTATTTGTTCAGCTATGTTTGATTAGTGTTGGAGCAAAACTCTGCAGGGACACCAGCCCTCAAGGATCAAGATATGAATAATGTCCTAGAATAATGTCAGTTCGGTTTCAATATTTGTTTACATCTTTCTTTTGTATTTTCTGAAAATCCCAGTCGGGTGCATACATAGAATAACACATTTTAATTTATTGTGATTGAAAATTAGGGTTACTCCGACCAAAAAACAGTGTATTGTCTAAAAAGAATATAAGCAAAGCCTCTTTTTATTTTATGCTCACAAAAAACAAGCAAACAAATGGTTTAAATAGCATAGTATAGTATAGTATAGTATAGTATAGTATAGTATAGTATAGTATAGTATAGTATCGTATCGTATCGTATCGTATAGAGACCCCTGATAAATCAGGCCGAAAGATAGTGAGTATAGTATAATCCTTTTTTTTTTTTTATTTAAAAGGACATTTACTCACAAATAAGTACAGAAATAAAATATAAATCCAAAGTAATTCATTTTCAAGTGGATGAAAACTAAAAAATAGTCAGTCTTGGTTTATGGTTTTTACTAGCAAAAGGTATTTTTGTTCACATTATGTGGTTTTATTTTTTATTTAGAGTAATCACATCCTCTCTATTCTCTCTCTGCAGCGGCTCATATTGGTGTGGGTATCAGCGGTCAGGAAGGGATGCAGGCTGTGCTGTCCAGTGACTTCTCCTTCGCTCAGTTCCGCTTCCTGCAGCGCCTCCTACTGGTTCATGGACGCTGGTCATACCTGCGCATGTGCAAGTTTCTGCGCTACTTCTTCTATAAGAACTTCACCTTTACCTTTGTGCACTTCTGGTATGCATTTTTTTGCGGCTTTTCTGCTCAGGTGAGCCTAAAACAATTATTTTCCCCCCTTTTGCAATTACATTAGCTAAAACTTTCCATTAAACACAAATGTTTATATTTTTATTCTTCTTTTAGACGGTTTATGATGAAGGCTTCATCACTTTGTATAATTTGGTATACACTGCTCTTCCTGTTCTGGGAATGAGTCTGTTTGACCAGGTAGGAACATGTACTGTATAATAATGTTCCCTTAATAATCTGAATTTATTTATTTTAGTCCTGTTTTATTCAATTTGATGTATGCTTTAAGTTACAAAATAGGTTAAAACAAATAGGTTTGTGTGTGTCCAGATGATTAACATTCTGCTTGATGTTGGATTCAGTCAGTTAAGAAAAAACATATTTTTTGAGAATGCAAGCAGTGGACTTTTTTATTATTAACTTTCATTAAACATTAAAACATTTCTATTAACCACCCTCATGAGTGTTATTAAGGCGGCGAATGGGACCTTGTAGGATTTCAGTTGTATATTATTTGCCATAAAGGAGGAGGTTGATTAAAATGAAATATGGCTTGCTATTGATTAGTGTGTTTGTTCAGGATGTGAATGCTAACTGGAGTCTGGAGTTCCCTCAGCTGTACGTGCCGGGTCAGTTGAGTCAGTACTTCAGTAAGCGTGCCTTCATGATGTGTGCGCTTCACAGCTGCTACAGTTCTCTAGTGCTGTTCTTTGTGCCTTACGCCACTACATATGACACCGCGAGAGCCGACGGCAGAGATGGAGCAGACTATCAGTCATTCGCACTCATTACTCAAACCTGCCTCACCGTCACTGTTTGTGTGCAGGTCAGTTTCATGCTGCACTGTGATTGTGACTAATGGATTTTATTGAATAGCAATTTTTTTTAAATACATAATTTTGTTTCTTAATTTGCTAAAGTTGGGGCTGGACCTCTCGTACTGGACTGTGGTCAACCATCTGTTCGTTTGGGGAAGTTTGGGAATGTTTTTCTTTTTGACCTTCACCATGTATACTGATGGACTTTTCAAGTTACGTCCAGCTTCTTTTGCTTTCATAGGTAAGGGGGAAACACACACACAAATGCACGGACACACACAATGGTGTGAAAAAAGTTTTTGCACCCCCTTTTTAGATCATTTAAACTAAATTAAATATTCGTCAAAATAGCAAACACATCATGCAGTTTTTAAATGAAGGTTTTAATTATTAAGGGAAAAAATTTTGCCCCTTAAACCTAATACCTGGTTGGCGACCGTAAGCAGCAACAACTGTAATCAAGCAGTTTGAGTTTAAAAAGAAGAAGTGAAATTTTTATTTATTTATTATTATTTATTTTTTTTATTTTTTTTGAGCCCGAAATTGTCATTCCACAGCAACTCAATTGGATTGAGGCCACTCCAAAGTCTCATTTTGTTTTTCTTCACCTAGTAGTGGACTTATGGTGTAGTTTATATTATTGTCTTGCTAAAGAACCCAAGTTCGCTTCAGTTTGGTTTAGGGGTAAACACTTTTTCACACAAAAACACACACATAGCAATATATTATTTGGGTTGGTGATGTAAATTATAGTACAAAGCCAATATGCTTTCTGTTATAGTACATATTTATTTCTATATAAATATATTATTTTATACAATATATTGTTTCAGACCAAAAAAAAATTGTTAATAAAAGTCACGTTATAATGCAGAGTTATTCTAATTTATCATCATCATCAAAAGTCATTGGAGCAGAAATTAAGGTCTCATAATGTAACTTAAAAGTATAAATAACTGGAAAAAATATATAGTGAAAATATGCAAAATAATTAAACAATCTAAATCTTACTCAGCATTATTGAGTTTGTTTGGAAAGACATTTCTTGAAGTGTCTGGGTCTGGGGTTCTTAAATCTGTTTCTGTTTATTCTCTTTCTTCATGTCTTGCATTTTGGAATGTAAACTGATATTTCCTACTGACTTAAACCCATTTTTAGCTGGTGAAAGTTAAAATGTTCTGATTATTTTGGCCTCCATTGTTTTTATGCTGTAGCAATGTAGCATATCAAATTTGATCTTCATTTTAGATACTGATTTGCATTTTCAAGAAAACCTGTATAGTATAATGTATATACCGTGTGTTTATGGTGTTTTTACAGGAACTGCCCGAAATTGTCTTAACCAGCCCAATGTGTGGCTGACCGTGGCATTGACAGCTTTACTATGTGTCTTGCCTGTGGTTGCGTACCGGTTCATCTACTGCCAGATCTATCCTACCATTAATGACAAGGTAGAGTTACTGGACATCCCATTATCGACACAAACTTACACACACACACACACACACACACACACACACACACACACACACACACACACACACACACGTACATTACATAACAATCTGCATTCAGCTATTTCTATGCTGTATTTCAGTCAACGTACAACTCATTTTTCATCCAGCTTACACATTGGCATATTCTAAATGTTACATTTTTGATTACATGCACTCAAACTACAAGACTGTTGAAAGCTTCATACTGATTGACTATCAAAAGTTTCAAGGTGTGCTGTAATTTTCAGGGAAACACGGAGGTAAATTTGTTCAAGACTGATTTTGGCCCCATAACAGTTCCATAATCATTTTTTGTCTTTTTTTTACATGCAGTACAAAGACACATTCGTACAAAACAAAAACAAGTTATCAGCACTGCTGGGTGACATTTATTAATAAAACAGTGCTGCAGCTGAAAAGCTTCAAGACATTTCTCAGTAGCAACAGTGCTGATCTCAAAGCAGTTGAACTTGTCAGTGTTATTTTAATAAACTAAAACTATTGGTCAAAAAGCATTTTCATTAACTGAAATAAAATAAAATATTCACAATGAATCAATAGCTTAAAACTGAATGAAACTAACAACAGTCACTAAAAAACTAAACTGAAGTAAAATAATTAGCAAAAATAATCATGTTCAGAATTAATAAGCACTAATTCTGTGGTGGAAATTATGACCTGCTGTATATATATATATATTGTGTACATATCTTAAATATAAAATTTGTTTTATATCTTATATCTTTGTTATATATCTTTTCTTTTATTTTTCTTCTTAGTTTTTGGGTTTAGAGTCTGTTCATTTCTTTTATATTTATTTTTACGACGAGGTTTACACAAGAGCTCTGGCTGACACTGGAAATGTTTTGTAAACTCGGCTGAACTAAAATTAAAACTAAAACAGTGTCTGGTTCTGTCCGAAATCGCCTACTACTCAGTAGGTACTGCATTTGAATGTAAATTCAGCCTATTACTCAACCGATAGAAAAGTACGTTCTATACAGTATGAATGTGAGTAGTATGAATGAAGCTCAAACGAACTACACCCACCATTTTATCATGATTATGTGACACACCCGCTTCACTCCCATTTATGAATTCTCTCGTGGTGCATCATGGGATAGCGTCGCGTCTATCGGATGAGCACTTCAAAATATAGCCTGAAGTAGTAGGTCATCTGGGTACAGTACTACTCGCATACTGTTTTTCAGATACTATGAATTCAGACGTACCACTTAGCTCGCATACTGTTTTTAGGGTACTATATAGTATATGAAATTTTAGAGCAGTGATCCCAATATCGTGAAACTTATATTTTTATCCAAGGTTATCATACCATTATAATTTTATACTGGCCCATGCCAATCTATGAGTGTGCATTATTTCCCAAAAGCATCATCACTTTTAGACATTTTCAGCAAACGATGGTAGCAATATTAGTATAAGGATGTCATAAAATGAATAACAGAGAGAGAAAGAGGATGAAAACATGAATGGATTCACAAACATTAAACAAGTGCTTATTTCCTTATTGCTTGTTACCTCCAGGTGAGGTATAAGATGCGTCAGATGAAGGAGCCGGCTCCTCGGCCACGTCCGCGGCTGACCCGCAGGAGCACACGCCGTTCTGGTTACGCCTTCTCTCATGCCCAAGGCTACGGGGACCTTGTGACATCTCGCAGATTCCTCCGGCGACCCGCGCCCGCTCGCTCCGCAGGCTTCACTCCAGCTGGACGCTCTCCTGGGTTCAAGCCCACGGGTCGATCCGCAGGGTACAGCCCGGTCGGGAGAGAACAGAACCCTAAACAAAAAGTTGAACCCACGTCACTGCAGATGTTTCGCGCTGTTAAAGACGCTTCTTTCTGAGGGTTCAGCTGGAGATAGAACACGCTGTTTACAGGGTTTGAACACTTGGAGATCAGTTCACAGCTGCTGTGTGATGTTAATATAAATATAGAAGTTTATACACGCACTAAGAACCATTGACTTGAATAAATTGAACTATATTGAAGCACAGCGAGCACTCGTCTTCTCCACTGTCATCATTACTACATCAGCAACAGACATGCTGGAGTGTCCACCAAAGCTTTTTTCATGTGGGTAGCATATATTTTATTTAATTCTATATTTAAAAGTGGCAGTGAGTGTCTTTTAATATTCATTCATCAATATCATATTTTAGAAAGTCATCTGAAAAGTTTACAAAATCACCAATCATTACATTAATGTATGTCGACTGAACACCAATGAAGGAAAGGTAAATATCGCTGTTCTTTTTGGTATCGGATTTCGACAATATTAAAGTGGCCATACTTTAAGTACTAATCTCTGGCCCAATCCCAATTTTATTTTTGTACTCCTACCCCTTCCCCTTGGTCCATGAAACAGAGTGTGAAGGGGAAGGGCTTCAACTTTACCCCTAAGAAATGGGACGCCGCTACAACACCTGCACACAACATCAGATGTTATAGCGATCTCTTGCTTTATGTAAGATTGACGATGAAGACTGCTGTAGTTATTCCAGTTGCTTTATTTTTTTTTGGTATTTATCTTCAGGTAATTACCGAAGGCAACGATATTATGTTATCATAACGATATAATGTGGCAATAGGCTTGTAACTGTACTGAGCATTTACACAGTGGCCATATTCATCTATGTAAACACAAGAAAACAACATGAGTGTTTTACCAAACACGGTAAAAAGCTCATTCCCAGCCACTAGACATTACTGACTGGGTATTTGAGTGTCATCGAGTGTCAGAATGTTGTGGGACTGCTATACAGGAGATATAATCATGGATTAAAAATAGAGAAATTTTGCGTTTTTTATTTATTAATGCATTTTTTTTAAACCATGATGGTAAAACACGAATGCCATTATGAACATATTAAAACATATAGTTGTTTGTTGTAAAAATTCTCTTAAGAAAATTTTCTTACCCCTTGATTTTAAGTGTGGCCCTGAAAAATCTCCCTTTGAAGGGGTATTGAGCCCTTCCCCTTAGCCCTACGGCTTCAAGCTAAAGAGAATTGGGACACCCCTACCCCTTGTTTTGCAAGTTAAGGGGAAGGGCTGAGGGGTAGAATTGGGATTGGGCCTTTATTTCAGATATAAAGTGTTCAGATGCAAAAAATCCTCTAAATGCTGTCTAAAATGTTCTTCTAAAAATGAGCATTTTTCCAGGCGCTTCGAATGTTAGCATTCGATTGAATGGGCATTATCAGTGATTATCAGCTGATAAATATGGGCCAGTAGGGGCGTTCTGCACCTACTGGTAGGCTCAGAAGGCTGTTATCATCCATCCACATTGTTAACCAGCTATACTAATAAAGAAGATTCCAGATCCAGATCTGTTTTTACATTACTGTGATGATTGAATTTAGGGTTGTGGTAGAGGTCAATGTTTATAAAATACAATTAATGGCAAATTTAACAAACAATATAAATAATTCTTGTGGTTAATCAGCTATATTAATAGAGAAGACTGCAGATTTAGATTTGTTTTTACATTACTGTAATGGTTGGGTTTAGGGTTGGGGTAGGGGTAGATGTTTATAAAATACAGTTAAAGGGAAATTTAATAACTAACATAAATAATTTCCGATAACTTACGGCCGCTGCCATATTTGATCTATAGCTGATTAACCATGTGGACGGATGATAACAGCCTTCTGAGCTTACCAGTAGGCACAGAAGGCCCCTACTGGCCCATATCTCTCAGCTGATGACCACTGATAACGCTCATTTAGTCGAGTGATAACATTCGAATCTGCCATTTTTCTGTGTGTAGATTCAGTCATTTTATGTTTTTGTGGTGATGAATAATTATTTTCAATGCCTTCAAAGTGAAATAAGTGAACACAAACATTAGAGGCTGAGAAAAATGCTAATATTATAAAATGAATAATTCAACAAGGCTTTGGCATCTGAACTCTTCATATTATCTTTCATGTAATATGACTGCTGTTCAAAGACTAACTGAGGTCTTCGGCAATTTGAGCCTTACTTCCTGCCATGGAAACACTGTCAAACACTGTAGTGTTTCTGAGGCCAGGAAGAGATTTGTCAGCATGTCAAGATGTACAGTAGGTTCTGTGCTGCGAAAGCAAGATCTGCTTAGTATGCACCTCCAAAGGTTTAGACTCAAATTGATGATCAACAACATTATTACTGCTCATAACACTGTCCCGAGGAAGCCTCTGGAACTGAAATTCAGATACAGTGCTCAGCATAATTAAGTACAACCATTTTGAAAATGAATATTTTTATTTATTTCTCAGTAAATATAGGCAATGCATTTTGGTACATTTAAACAAAAAATATTTATTAAACAGATATATTTTTTTAAATAATATTTTAGTAACTAAACATATTTAGAAATTAAAAGATAATACAATCCAATTAAAGCTTCAATTTTTCCTTTTTTTTTTTTTTTGCTTCTCTTGATTTTTCCTATTTTTATTTTATTTGTATTTGATATTTTTCTATAATATAAAAATGTGGGTGTACTAGTTTTTGGACTCTTAACTTATGTCGTTAGATAAGCTACAGATTTGGTTTCAGTACTGACTAATCTAATGTATATGCACAAATATTTTATTGTATAGCTTCCTGTTAAAAATAAATGACTTTAAAAGATAGATTTGTGAGGGGTGTACTTATATATGCTGAGCACTGTATGCAACTGGTCTATGGCTTATAATGCATGTCAAAAACCAAATGACAATCTCAACGGTCTGCACCATCTGACCAATCAGAGCAGAGCAGGCTCTCAAAAAAGTGGGGTTTAGAGAGCCCATGCTGTGAGTAAAGAAGTGATTTAGATTCAAGTAAATTTATTGTCGAAGACCTCTAAAACAAAATGATTTCATTTACTCGCCCTTTACTTGTTTCAAACCTCTATGGGGTTCGTTCGTCTGTTAAAGACTAAGGAAGCCATTTTATAGAAACCTGTAACCATTGACTTCAGTAGTATTTGTTTTTCCTACTGTGGAAAATGATTGATTGGATTTACGCATTTTTATAAGTTATATGGGTTTAATTGAAACAAATAAATTAAATTTAGTTATGTTCAACTTAATTTGTCAATTTAAATTCAACCTATATAAATTGTTTGCAACCTTAGTAAATGAATCCATTTCTTTAATGTGATTGCAGGTTTTCAGCCTTCTTCAAAACATCTTCTTTTGTTTTTAAAAGAAGAAAGAAACTCATAAAGGTTTGGAACTACCTTGAGGTAACTGTCCCTTCAAGAACTCTTAAAATAGCATAAAGGGGACATATTTAAAATGAAAAATAATTATTGGAGGAACTTCATTGACTGTAGCTCTATAGCTAATTGTTGCGATCTGGCAATTTCAGTTAACTAAAATCCCTGTCACATATATTTCTATGGTGTCTATGATATCATATCTCTAGGAGGTCAAAAATTCAACCAACCATTTTTTTGCCATATTTATATTACCATTTTTTGATCCTTCTCTGGCCTTTGGAATGAAAATGTACTTTTAGAAACTCGAGAGCCTTTTAATCATGTGAAATGAGAAGCAATGCTGAAGCATGGTCCTCATATACTGTAGTTCAAATAGGACTGACGTGATCAAGGACCTTGATATAAATAAAGCCAGCCGCTCATTACTTATTTTAGGATCTGCTCAGCAAGTTGATGCAGAGTCACATATGCTTCAGTAATCTAACGCCAGAAAAGGCACAATGGTTTAATTCATATACCATACACTAAACTTTACAGGTTTGTTACAAGCTAGTCATCTTATTGTATATTTTAGGTGCTTCTCTTCATTATTTCACTGACTGTGGTGTGTGTCTCTGTGTGTGGGTCTGTGTGGGTGTGTATGTAATGAATTTTTACATCACGATCGCAGCTTGCTATGCATACTTTTTTCTGAAATCTTCACAAAGACTATATCCCAAAGATTTCCATTTGAAAACACAAAGGAAAATAAATTTTTTATGTAACAGATTTTTAATGCACTTCAAATGAAATGAAGAGAGCAATTTGAACATATTCATTGTATCCAGTACACAAAAACACTTCTGGATAATCAGCTCTATTTGTGTACATTATGCCTGAACTATGCATTTTTTGTAAAAGCAAAACTATTTTGTACAAATAAAATACTTTTATACTTTTTAAAATTTTGAATCTGCATTTTTACACTTTTTGAGTCTGTTCAGTTATGCACTGCTGTAATAAGTTCTGTATACTCCATTTAAGATGAAGTAATGCGATATTTAATTAACTCATTACCTTCAAAACTCTCTTCAAATGAGTTGAATTAACTTTCAATACATTTTGAGTAAAGTTGACTGTTGAGTTTTATAGAGTAGACAAACATATCAGATCGGTTATTGGCTTCAGTTTTTATCATCCCAGCTTGCTGTCTAAAATCAAACATTTCTTAAATCCCACCATACTAGAGATGACTGTCCACGCTTGAAGAATGTTTCAGAAAGCATCTAAGACAAAAACAGAATTCAAAAAAAAAAAATAAACAAGTAAATGACAGGATGAGAGTGTGGTTTAACGTCACAAAAATCAGATGAGGGCTTTTCTTTTTCTGAATTGCTTTTTAAATTTGTCAGTAGGGTTTAGGGAAGGGGGAGAGCGGGTCTTTTTAATATTTTTTCTTTTTAATTATATATTTTTATATGCAATGATATTCATACATGTCTATGTGCCCCAAATATCCAAACACTTTTTGCAGCAACTGCAATCCCTGTTTTTCCTAACTAAAATTAGGTGGACCCTCCAGACAGACGGGCCCTTAGTCCATTCATGGGACACGCCAGCTATTTAACTCTCAGTGCTGAGAGTGAAGGCAGGCTTTCTTCCACCGAACAATGAGAAACGCAGTGACCGGAGAGTAGCCTAAACAAAGAGCTGCCTGCAGGGCACCAGCAGTCCAACACCCCAACCCGCCCTCACGCTATCAAGCCACAGTTTCCAACCCCTCTCACCTGGACCCAAACAGAAGTGGTTTGTGACCCCCATCACCGTAAAGATGCCCAAAAGTCAGCATTCTACGGACGCGCAGTTTGTGTGAGCGCGAGGGCGGGCGCGCGCATCATCTGACGTAGCGCCGTCCACGTCTCTCAGCGCTGCGCTGCTGTTGCGCTCAGTATCTTCACCACAAAATCAACCCAAACGTCAAGATTGTTCACCGTGGTTTGACATCCTGATATTTGGGAGCCGTAGACATGACATTTATCGTCAATGTGAGTATAAACGTGCCGCTGTTTTCATCATTTGAAAGGAATGTGGTAAACATGGTGCGGTGGAAGCTAACCGGACTGCCCGCTGGC